CGAGCCGGGCTGGGGCGCCGGCCGCGCAGGGGGTCGCGAGGTGGGCGGCGGGCGGCTCCGGGCTCAGTGCTCTCTGGCCGCGGCCATCCCGGCGGGGCGGCTGGGCAGGGTTAAGAGCGGAGCGGCGAGCACGTGAGCCTTGGGCCCGCCCCCCACCCCCCAGCCCCGCTGGCCCGGGCCAAGGCTGGCGGAAGACAAAAGAGGAGCCGCCTGGGGAACCCCTTCCCTGCACCTCGGTGGTCTGCTCAGCAGGTGCACGGCCCTGGGCGCACGGGTCCTCTTACGGTGGCCACCCCTTTGCTTAATGATCAGACGACCCGTAGACTGGTAGGGGGAGGGGAGCAGGGTGAAAGAGGGTCCCCCGACTTTGACTCGATGATGCCCTGACTAGGGACTGGGAGCAGGGGAATGGTTGCTGGGCTAGGCTCACCCCCAGGGCGTTGTGCTCTTGAGCCGGGGTACCCCAGCCTCTGCGACCCTGCTGAGACTTTTGGGAAGAGAAGAGGTGGCTTGGGGGACAGAGGTCCTTTGGCAACACTCTGCTCTTAGTGCCTCCTCCGGGACCTCTAGATCATCTGCAGCAGAGCTGGTCACTGCAGTCTTCCCACACACTCCATCCAAACCCACTTCCGAGGCCGCTTCTCCTGAGCGAAGATGCCCTGCCTCCTTCTCTGGACTGGAGTTCTTCAGGTGGGGCGTTCCAATCCTTCCTCTAAGCAAAACCACAAACTGCCCAGGTCGTTTATATGCGGTTAGCATGCTCCATTTCTGTCCCTGCCGTGCCTGTGTAAATCTTTAAGGAGCAGAAGACACCTCTGGAGCCCCCCTAGCCGCCGCCTCTGGTTAGATTAGACTGCCCTGTCTGAAAAATACTTGACCTCCCAACCTACCTCCCCAGCGGTGCCCTGAAGCCTAGCTGCCCCAGTTGTGCCCTTCGACCCAGTTGCTGGGATTCTTGAACAAGATGGATCCAATGCCATGGGCTGGTATCTTTGACCTCTGGGAGGGATCCTAAGAACCCAATACCTGATGGCCAGAAGTGTGTGGAGCATGACACAGATCCCTGGCTCTGACTTGGTGATGCCTATCTGGGGACTGAGTATGGGAGTGTGGCTGCTGCTGAGGCCTCATTCTGACCTCCCAAGGCAAGACAATTTTTACAGCAACACTTGGGGACCACAGGTCATTGAGGAATCAGAGTAGAGGCAGGAACACCCCTTCCTGGGTCCTCTGCTCTCCAAGGGCCTCTGCTGGGGACCAGGGAGCTGCCTCTAGCTTGTGACAACACTCCCCCCAGCCCCAGCTCTATTTTAGACCCAGGAGAGGTGAGAAGGCAATTTCTCAGGAGGCGCTGACATAAATGCTGGGAACAAGGTGACTCCCACCCCCACCCCCCAACCACCTGCCACTCCAGCCCCAGATGCTCAGCAAAGCTGAACAGAACCTTCCCTCACTCTGGAAACATCTTGAAAAACCAGGATGCTGGGGCAGCAGGGTGTCTGGGATGAGGGCCTACCAGGTGGTATTCCTTGGAAGCTGTTTCCAAGGATGGTGAGATTGTGCTCCGCCTTTTACAGATAGGGAACTGAGGCTCTAGGAAGCTACAGGAACATCCCACCTTCCCCCAGGTGCTCAATGAGAGGCAAGTCTCACGTCTCAGGGCTCCATTCCTCTCTGCTCAGTCCTGTCCCCACCTCTACCTCTACGTAGGACCCAAGGGGACATCCAATTCCTAAACCTCTAAGCTACTTGGCATCCCAAACCCCAGAGTGTCTGCTCTTTCCACCATGCTATGTCCCATCCCAGGGCATACTGGCAAGCCCTGATTAGGATGCCTTCACACAGGCTAGGTGGGTCTTGTCCTCATAAACTTTGAGGCTGGAATCTAGGTCCCTCCATATGTCTAGAACCACACAGGGAGCCAAAATCCAAAGTCCAATACTTCAACCAGGGCAGACTTTGGCTACATCTGTGGCTGTGGTATCTTTGGCTTTCTCTGGGGTGAACTAATGTACTCTGAGTGACTTAAATTTTTAAAAAAATTTAATGTGCATGAGTGTTTTGCCTGCATGTATGTAAGTGTACCACATATGTGTGGTGCTCACAGAGGCCAGAAGAAGGCATCAGGTCCCCTGGAACTAGAGTTACAGAAGGTTGTGGGCCACCATGTGGATGTTGGGAACTGAACCTGGAACCTGGGCCCTCTGCAAGAGCTTCCAGTGTTCTTAACAGCTGAGCCATCACTCCAGTCCCTGCATGACTTTTTTTTTTTTTTTTTGGTGGTACTCTGAGCCAGTTGGGGCTTAATAACATGGTTCCTTGGTCCCTAACAGCCACTTATTTTTCTCGGTTCCTGGCTCTGTGCAGACCCAGCTGGACGTCTTGACTGTCCTTTGATCACATCTCACTTCCCAGCCTGAGGTTCTACCTCCCATCTTCAACTCTGCTACAAGGTGCCTGGCCAACCAGGAGACTTACTTCAGTTTCCTTCCCCTACCTTCTCTTCCATGGTCAGGAGCTATCTGTCCTCAAACTGGTAGCCCTCCAGTTGGGGAACTCATAAGAATGACTGTCTCCCTCATCAGACAAGCTCTTGACAATAACTTAAGCTGTTTTTTCCTTTGGGGCAAGCCTGTCTCCCTCCAGAGGATTGCCTATAGAGCCCCCATACCACCGCCACAGCTATAGCCTGCTGCTATGGTTTCTCTGCCCATCCCAGGAGGCTGTTTTCTGTCTTAATGCCACACTTAATGGTCATTGCTATACAGCCCTCATCAGATGTTGAGTTTTACTTTCCCTCAGGAGCCCTTTATACCAGGAGGCCTGAGGCCCTTTCTCTCTAAGGCTCTTCTGTCCTTCAACCAATTCTTCCCCTCTGTGTTCTGAACAGCTGCGCCATCTCTCCAGCCATATATATATATATATATATATATATATATATATATGCACATACATATAGAGCCAAGCTGGGGTGATGTAGGGACCAGACCTTGCCTTGGCTTGGATACTTCAGGTAAGGGAGGGCATCCTGGAAAGTGTGATGGACAGGGATACAGGGATTGTTGCCAGTGGCGCCATGCAGGCCAGGTGCCCAGCCTGAACCTACAGCATAGACCAGGCCTGGAAGGGACTAGGATGGTGCAGTGGATAATGGGCCCTGAGGCTCCAGATTGGGGTCCCAACCCCAGTTCTCCCATTTACTGTGTATTTGACCTGAGCAAATTTTCTGCCTCTCTGAGGGTGGCCCCTCTTCTCACAGGCTGCAGAGAGGGATAAACAAGCAGCTGAGCTTCATGTGTTTACAGCAGTGCCTGGTATACAATGGGGTTCTGTCATCCTGAGTGAGCTCCCAGGGCTTTTTTAAGGGCCCTCAGGGCCCTCTTTATAACCAGCACATGTGACTAGGATGACATGCTGCTGAGGAAGTGCTGTAGCGCTTGGACAGGAAGTTCATCCTGCTTCATCTTAGACCCTTCCCAGGGCAAGCTGCTGGCCTCATCTGAATAGTCCTCCTGCTCCTACTGGTTCTAGTGGCCTTCCTGAAATTCTTGCAGCTCTCAGGCCTTGCCAAGGGAGAAACTTGCCAAGGGAGAAACTAAATGCCCTTGGGGTACCAGGATTTCAGGCACACAGGCTTGAGGGACTTGTGGGACATAGAAGTCACAGTGTCAAGGGACCAACTGCCCCTCCTCTCCCACTCAGGGATCTTCTGGAGACTGGAGAGCTAGCTTTGGGAGAGCCTGGGGATAAGTGCCAATGCCCCTTAACAGCTTTACCAACAAAGTTATTTGTATTTTATTTAGAATTTTAAAATTTATTTTTATTTTATGTATATATGTTTTGCCTGTATGTATATAAGTGAATCACATGTACAATGCTGCATTGGATTCCCTGGAACTGGAGTTACAGGTAATTGTTAGTCACCACGTTCTGGGAACCAAACCTGGGTCCTTAGCAAGAGCAGCCAGGGCTCTTAACTGCTGAGCCATCTCTCCAGTTCTTGAGATGGTCTCCCTGTAGCCCCAGCTAGCCTGGAACTGACTATGTAGATCAGGTTGGCCTTGATTGCACATAAGATTCATCTGCCTCTCTCTCCAGAGTGCTGAGATTAAAGGTGTGAGCCACCATGTCCCCCCCCCCTTTTTTTTTTGAGACAGGATCTCAAGTATTCTACTGGCCTCAAACTTGATATGTAGCTTAGGCTGACCTTGAACCTCCACCCCCTGAGTGAGGGATTTACAGGCATGTACCACCACTCCTGGTTTATGCAGAGCTAGGGGCTGAACCCAGGGCTTTGTGCCTGCTAGACAAGCACTATAACAACTGAACTACATCCCCAGCCCTTCATCCACAATTTATACTATGGATAAGGATATAGGTAGAGGGCAAGGGAGATTAGTGGAAATAAGCTCAATTTAAGTGCTTAGAAGGAGAGCACACTGCTGGGAGTTTATGCTAGTTTGTTCAGACAATGTGCCAAGTTCTGTGCTAAGCACCTCACACACATCCAGTTTAATATTTGTTATTTCCTAGTGGGGTAAGAACTACTATTACCTTCATTTTTCAGATTCTGATTTCAGGAGATTGCCAACGCTTATGGAGTTAAGTAGCAAAACCTGGACTTGAACTTAGGTCTGTGTAGATGGGCAACATGGAAACTGTGACTTGAAGAATGGGCATTCCAGGGCTGGGGCAGCTAATGGTAGAGTTCTTGCCAAGAACATGTGAGAGGCCCTGGGTTCAGTTTCTAGCACCACAGGGGAAAATAAAAAGAATGGGCATCCTAGGATGAGAAAGGGCAGCCACAGAGGCCAAACAGATCGTGGTGCTAAGACAAGGGCCTCACTAGGCTGGGTGGGGGCTAGAGGCAAGGTGAGGGAGATTGAAGAACTAAGGGTGGATGCAGGTGGGTAGAGTGGACAGTGTAGGATGATCAGGAGACTGAAGGTAAAAGACACATGCACATATGCATTAAAAAAGTGGTGTTGGGTGGAACCACCAATGCAGGTCACATCTGCAGAAATGAAAGGACCAGTGAGGAAAGAACAGGCATTCCAGAATGGGCCTGGGGAGAAGTTAGGGCTGAAGGATTCTTCGGAGTCTAGAAGCTGACAGAGCAGCTGAGGCTTGTGCAGAATGGACAAGCGAATGAGCAATGGTCAGGAATGGGGAGGGGGGGGTGGCACCTGACTTTAGTCATTGGCCTTTCAGATGACCTTGGAATAAATCTCAGTGGAATGTAGCAGGCAGAGCCATCTGAAGTTCAGAAGAGGAAGGGGAAGATCTGGAGGATTCAGGAAGTGGCTAGAGAACAGGAGGAAGTCTTCTTTGAGCTGCTGAATCCACTTCCAGGACAGGAGAGCATCGAGTTTGCCAGCAAAGGAGAGGTGGCAGGTCTGAGAAGGAAACCGACAGGGATGCCAGGTAGGCTGGAGGGCACAATGCTGGCAAGACTTGGAGGGGAACAATACTGCTCTTCTCAATGAGAAACAAAGGCTGTACGGTGATGAAGGGGGATGTCAGCTGGATAAGGAGCAGTGAGAGTGAGTCAAGCTCATGTGCTGGGGAGGAGCTGTGGAAGTGGACTTGAGGAGATATGAACAGTCCTTAGGTGGAAGGAGCCACAGAGGGGCCTGACTTGTGTTAGGCACCACCTGTCCTGGGCAGGTCTCATGTGTTTGGAGGTCCTCTCTAACCTAAATCAGTAGCTAGACACTGGAACAGACAAGTGACTAGAGGTCGCAGTACTGAGATTTTGGCCTCATGAACCAGATGTGAGGTAGGGATGGGTCTTAGCAAGGGTGATAAGGGTAGTACCTGGTGCCACAGGCTCTTAGTGTGTAGTATATAAAAGTATTGGTGAGGTCTGAGGAAGGCATGAGGAAATTCTTCCTCCTCCGCAGGGGTGCTACCCCAGGGAAAGTGGCAGGGAACAGGTCTTCCCATGTACTATGAAAACAAAGGTATGTCCTCTGAAGATTCCAGAAGTAAGCCACTGCCTGGGTCCTGGGGAAGAGAGGGCCCTGGGTAAGAATGCCTATTGAACAAGAGTTTTCTTGACAGTGGGTGACAAGCATTCCCTATAGTGACTACTTGCTGGACAGCAGAGCTAAGAGTACCAGATAGGACAGGGATGAGGGGACAGATGCCCTGATTCCCCTTGGTCCCAAGTGAGTGTGGCACTCACACATCCTCCCTTTGCAGGAGCCCATCCTACTCTCCAGTTTCTGGGCCTTAACCTGTGTCTTGGGTTACTGGAGGGAAGATTGGGGACCAACACATTGCACTCTAGCCCCATCTGTTTGCTATAGGTTATTAACAAGTTTATTGACATGTCCTGAATCAAGATTGTGAAACTTATCAAAAATGGTATAAAAAGGTCAAATGACCTCTGAGGAGCGTGGTACACACACACAGTTGCTCTATTTTCAAACTAACAACTCAGGTCCTCACCCACAGCTAGGCCCCCCTTTCTTCCTCTGAGATAGAATAGCACCCGGCTTCTGGCAGCTTCAACATTTAAAGAGAAACACACAGAGGCAGAGGAAGGTGAGAAGAACCACAGTACAAATTGTAATAAAAAAAAAGTGGCCAAAGAATCGATAGCAAACCCATTTCTGTCTTCAGATTAATGGCTTGGCTGTAAGAAATGGGAGGAGGTCCTTGGGGAAGGAGGGAGGGAAGAGGGTGATGCACAAGTTGGCAGGTGAGACACTGACCCTGCAACAGCAGCACTCTGGATGAGCAGCTCCAGCTGAGGCACAGGGAAGAGCTGAGAGGGCTCCCCAGAGAGGGCTCTGGCCTCATCTCAGGCTCAGGGGAAAGGTCAGCGCTAGGCCTCACTAAGTGCATGGAGGAGGGACGCTGTACTGTAGCCCAAGCCCCTCCTCTGCTTCATATGTTCCTGAGGATCTGTGTGTGAGTGTGGAGGTGGGGGTGGGGGAAGGGACATAAACAGGCATTTCAGAAAGCAGGAGAGACCACATGCTTGTGAGAAAAGAGGCTGCGGTGGGGGTGGGCAACACCAACAACTAACCCTTGGCTCTGAAAGCAGGCAAGTGCTTGGTGGGAGGTGGAGGGTGAGGGGTGCAGAGGCAGCAGGAAGCTAGGCTAGGCATCTATTACTCTAGCCTCTTTGTGGTCCCTCCCATTCCAACCTTGTCTCTGTTGGTTGCCCACCGCTGGGCAAGCCACTATAGACTTGTCTGGATCATAGCTGGAGATAGGGGAGGAGAGGATATCAGCAGCCCAGAATTTCTTGGTCAAAGACCCAGCAGATTAGAAATCTATTGACACTGTAAAGCTGAGCTTCTTGTACCCAAAAGGCTAGGTAGGTCTGGGACTCCTGGCTCTCTTGGGGTGGTCCTAGGCTCTGCTCCTCCTGCTGTCCCAGCCAGCCCTGGTCAGTGGGCAGCACCAAGCATGGGTATGGCATGGACCTATGGCCCTGAAGTTAGGAGTTATCTGTTCCTGACAAGTAGAGCCACCCTGGCCCTCATAGGAGCAGCTCTTGGCCAGCACTGAGCAGGGGAACAGGGGCTGGGCTTGGCAGGGAAAGGGATACAGAACATTTGGAGAGGTTGGGAGCCCCATAGTCTTTGGGAGTGATGGGTTCTTGCATCATCTGGCAGAAAGTGCAGACAAGGGGGGCTGGTTCTCTGTGGGCCCCCCACCTGTTGAGTACCAGTCGGCTGACAGCTGGCCCAAGGCTGTGGGGCAGCTAGGGAGCTCTTCAGCCTGTTGGAGAACAGGGCCAGAGGCTGCACACTCAGAATCCTCAGATTCTAGGGGCCAGTTTAACCACAGGCCTCAGGGATGTATGGTCTGAAACTGCTGGTCTGTCTGAAGGCTGCCAGGGAAAGGAGTCTGGAAGGGAAAGGTAGCTCTGCAGGTGGGCCAAGGGCAGGAGGGAGGCTACAAGTCCAGACTCATGGCCTGGAGGCGAAGGGAGAGACCATGCCTGCCAGTTGTCTTGGCACTGCAGGGACTAGGGTTTCTTGGGACAAAAAGTGAGGTATGTGGCCAGAAGGCCCCTGGTTTCTTCTCAGCATTGCCCCCGGAGAACTGAACCTTCCTCTTGTGGCCAGGAAGTGTCAGGTATGGGTCAGAAGACAGGTCCATAAAAGCAAAGTTGGTTAGAAGGCACTGGCAAGTAGGGTTCTTGGATACTGGTATCCTTGGGGGGTCCATAAACACGTCACTTGATCCCTCCAACTCCCGAAAGCTTCTGGTCCTGGTACCTCACCAGCCCCTACAGGTTCAGTTGGTATGTTTGTGCTGTCCACTATCCCTCCCATTCTGCTCCAGGGTACCTGGGGCCTGGCCACCACCTTCTTTCCCCATCCCAGGAGATGCTGCCCCAGGAGGGGAAGGCTGCCTACAGGGTGGAGTCTCAATAGAGCAGGTGATAATCAGAAGCCAAGGAACTGGACTGTCTATAGAGACAGAAACACACCCAGTGATCTGCAGGCCTCAACTCCAGGGCCCACAACAAGAAGGAAGTTCCCTGGGTTAGGGCTGAGGACAAACAAGGTGGCTTGTGTGATGTGACACCAGCTAGGTTTTAGCATGCTGAAGAGAACTGTCCACTCTGGTCTGATACTAGGGGCAACTGGTACTGCATGTGCCTCTCTTGGCTCTAAGGCCTCTGGTTGGGGTTGGCCATAGAATGGGTTAGAGCCTGCAGAAAGCAACATAGAGTCTGTTGTCCAAGCTGAACCCAGAGGTAGTAATGTGGGGAATAGATGAAGCTACAGCCTAGCCTCAAGTGGGACAGTGTTTGTCTCTGAGAGGCAGGGGCAGGAGAAACCTGGGTTCAGAAGGCCCCATGCAGTCTTTTCTGGGGTAACTTGCAGGAAGGGAGAAAGACCTTGCTTGTCACTTATCTTGGAGGGACCGAGGGACTATGTACCTCCCTTTTAGTTGGACAAAGGTGATTACTCTCTATCATGTCAATGGCTACTCCTAAAACCAACTGGGCAGAAGATGGTGGGAAGGAAAGAAGAAAATGGTACAGACTGGTTCCTACTGCTGTCAACCTCAGGGTCCCTCTTGTCTGGAGAGGAAAGCAGGCGGCCTAAGAGGGGATGGCTGCAAAGTTATGGCTGAGCTAGACAATGATCCAATCGACTTCAGCATTCGGGTGGTCTTCTAGGGCAAAGCTCTGGTGCTGGGAACTCTGAAGATGCTGCCTAGGAAGAGGCACAGGGCTTTTGATAAAGCTAGGGTGGGATAAGCAGAGATCCCAAACTGGCCTCTGGCACTGGAGGACACGCCAGAGGAGACTGGGGCAGGCAGGGCTCATCCTTGGCAAGTCAGGCTCCCTCAAAACAGTCTGGGGAGTGGCTGCCTAGCAGGGAAGGAGCTCACCACATGAATCTCTGCAAAGGCCTCTTGACAGCACTCATAGTACCCCTTCTTCCTGCCTGGCATGGTGTGTGAAGCAGACTGCAGGCCTGGCTCTGGGTCCTTGTGTTCTCTGGGGAGGGTAGAGAGTGGGGACAAGTGGTCACTGCTGGGGCTCTCAGAGGAAGGGCTGATGCTTAGGACCTGGAGTACAGACCAGGGAGGGGAGAGACCAAGATGGCCAAGGGGGGCAGGCAGGCACAGTGAACAGCCTGCCCTACATTTGCATCAATGGGGGGTGGGGACAGGAGAAGCAACAACAAGCCTCCCTGTGGGCAACTTGTCTTATCTGCTTGCTGTACTGGTATATCTTAAACCTCAGGTAACAGTGAGTGATGATGACTCTGCCCAGAATCCCTGGTAAGGAATTCCCCCATCCACATTGCTCTGATCTGCAAAATGAAGGGGGAAGCTCTTGAGAACTGCTTGTTCTGCTCTCAACTTCCTCCACTTAGAATGGCCCCTCGCTCATGTTAGCTTGTTCCTCTCACGTGAAGCTGCCACTTTTCACCAAAGACTTCCGAATCTCTAGTCCTTAAAACCTGGGGTGATGGTTCACACCTGTAATACCTGCACTCAGGAGGCTAACGGCAGGAAGATCGGGAGTTCGAGGCTAGTCTGGTCTAAAAAAGTGAGATCCTGTCTCAGAACTAAACTAAACTAAACTCTCTTCCACAAACTTCTCACTGGAATTTCTGTCTTGCAAATAGCTTAAAGGGCATCACTGTTTGGCTGTCCTACCAAATTCAACAACTCCAAAACATTCCCTTTTAAGGACTTTCTAAGTACAACACAAACTCCAGGAAACACAGAAAAGCTGGTAAATTCAACTATATACAAGATGTATACGTGGCAAAATCCATAAGCACGGTTAAGAGAAGCCACTGATTTTTTTTTTTAATGTTACAAGTTCATAATAAAAGGCTCAGTTCCCTAATATATGGAGGGCCCCTTCAAAATCAGTAAGATGAGCCTATGATATGAAGAAGGTTCACCCGGAAATTCAAATGATCAAACATAAGACCCTGTTTAACACCATTCATTCATTATAAGAAAAAAATGAAGATTTAATTATATTGATACAGTTTCCAATTTATCAGATTGGCAGAGGCCAACAGGTCTGAGAGTATACAGTGTTTAGCAAGGGGATGTGTAGAGACAGTGAGTGGGGAGGGGAGTGTAAACAGAACACAATTTGGTCACACTGATGAAAATGATCAATGCAGATATTCTCTGACCTACCATTCCTAATTTAGGACTTTATTCCACAACTGCAAATTTATTGTAGACACTTAATTCGCTGCAGCTAATCTGTGTCTCTATCAGCAAGAAATTTGTTAAAGTGCAGCCGATCCAGGCAATGCCATATTCTATAGCCAAAAAAAAAAAAAAAAAAAGGGAATAAGAATGCCTTTTAGTAGCAGTTGGAAATTATTTAAGGTATATTAGGGGAAAAACAAGAGCCAGCACATTGGGTAACACTCGCCCCGGTGTGGCAGCAAGAAAACAGAGATGTGTGCACCGTGCAGGACTGGAGGCTGCAGCAAGGAGAGGAATATGGACTTGTACTTTAAGCCTTTCCAGTGCCAGGAGTCACCACGCTTTGAATGGTGATGGAATGCTATGTTCTCTGTCCTAGAAAATGTCAGTTTGTAGTTCTGCTTATTTTCCCTTTATTTTTTTGAGTGAGTATGTGTTTATGTACACACACACACACACACACACACACACACACACACACACACACTTATGTGGAAGAAGGGAGAAAGAGCGAGCAGGAGCACCATTACACAGCCCGCACTCTTCCTGCTCCAGCTTCAGGAGTGCTAGGGTTACAGGTGCTGCGCCATGCCTAGTTTAACAATTTTTAAAATGTGAAAAATGACCATTTCTTTCAACACATCTACATACACATGCACATACACATACAGAGAGACACAGTCAGAGAGAGAGAGAGAGAGAGAGAGAGAGGAGAGAGGAGAGAGAGAAAATACAGAGAACCTTGACTTGGGTCAGTTCCCTGCCAGGCTCCTCACATGCAGATGCAGGGCTTCCTTTTTTCCTTTACCACTTCTTGGCTGTAGTCTCAGGCCATCCCAGGCCCAGCTCCCCTAGGCCACCTGCTGTCTGGTACCTTCTAGGAAAGGAATGAGGGTATTTGGGCCTTCACCTCAGCTGTTGTCTCCTTGGTACCCGCTCCATCTTCTTTTCTTCCCTCTCCCCCATTATTTCCTGACCCATAGTTTCCATCTGCTGATGGAGCCCACAGGCTCCTGGCTTTCAAAGACTCGTGGGCTGAGTCTTCCTTGTTCTGCTCTGCTGCAGGAACTAACCCTGAGACTCAGAACTTAGAAAGGGTCCAAGACGGGAGGCATGGCCTGTAACCCCAATACTCAGGTTCTGAGAGGACATCCAATCCATCACCTCAACCGAATTCCTTCTCTACTTTGGTTAGTGAAGCTTCAAATTCTCATGCAGAGTAGGAACATTAACAAGCCTGTAAGTTGCTGTGGCTGCACAGTATAGCAAGTCCCCCTCTCCCTTAGTTATTCCTCATTTAAAAAAAATTATTACTTTTATTTTATGTGTATGTGTGTATTGCCTGCAGGTAGGTAAGTGCACCCTTGGAGGTCTGAAGAGGCTGTTGGATCCCCTGGGACTGGAGTTACAGACAGTTGTTAGCTGCCATGTGGGTGCTGGGATTCGAACCTGGGTCTTCTGCAAGAACAACCAGTGTTCTTAACTGCTGAGCCGTCTCTCCAGCCCATTATTCCTCATTTTTAATCTGACAACTCTCAAGTTTTGATGTACACTGGAATCACCTGCAAGCTAGTAAGAATGTATCTTTTGGGGTTCTAACATCAGGGATTCTTTGTGTGTGTTTCCATGATGCTGGGGTTCAAACCCAGAGCTTTGTTTATAATAGGTTAGTGTTCTACTAGTGGGCTACATCCCAGTCCTCACCTCTTGGTTTTTGTTGTTGTTCAGTTAAAAAAATTATTATTTTATGTGCTTGAGAGTTTTGCCTGCGTGTATGTAAATGAAGTGTGTCACCTGCATGTGGTGCTCATGGAGGCCGGAAGAGAGCATTGGCTCTCCTGAAACTGGAGTTATGAATGGTTGTGAGCTGTCATGTGGGTACTGGGAATTGAACCCAGGTTCTCTGCAAGAGCAGCCAGTGCTCTTAACTGCTAAGCCATCTCTCCAGTCCTGGAGAAACCTGTATTTATTTATTTTAAAATGGGGGGCTGCTTTGTATGTGTCTGTGTTGTCTGTTGGGTGCACACAAGGAGGCCAGAGGAGGACATTGGGTGTCCTGCTCTATGACTCATCTCATTCCCTTCTGACAGTCTGTTGCTGAACCTGGAGCTAAGCTGGCAGTCTGGAAGCCCTGGTGATCCGCCTCTCCCCTCCACCAGCACTGTGGTTATAGGCATGTACAGTCATGCCTGGTTTTTCATATGGGTGCTGGGGATTCAAACTCACATCTCATGCTCATCCAGCACGTGTTCTTACCCAACTGAGCCATCTGCCTCTGGGACCTGCTTTCCTTTCTTTCTTTTTGAGACAAGATCTCACTATGCAGCCTTAACTGGAACTCACTATGTAGACCAGGTTGGCCCAGAGCTTAGATAGACATCTGCCTGCCTCTGCGTCTTCAGTGTTGGGATTAAAGGTAGGTGCTATCATGCCCTGCTGGGATCTGCATTTTTAAAATATTTTTTATTTATTATTTTATGTGTATGAGTGTATTGCTTGCATGTATGTGAGTGCATCCGTGTTGTGCAATGCCGCAGAGGTCAGAAGAGGGCTTTGGGTTCTCCCGGAACTGGAGTTAAAGACAGTTTGTAGCCGCCATATGGGTGCTGGGATTCGAACCTGGGGCCTCTGCAAGAGCAGTCAGTGCTCTTAACCGCTGCCCATCTCTCCAGCCCCAAGGGACCTGCATTTTTAATTAGGACTCAGGGCACTCTGATGATAGTGGTCTTAGAGATTTAAGTTTGAGAAAACAGCCTATTGCTCTCTAGACACTTAAGTCAAATTCTTCAGTAGGGTTAAAGACCACCAAATAAATACTTAGTATGTCTCTTCTCTGGGCTAAATTCCCAGAATAGACCTTGTTGAAGGAACAAACAGACTGTCAGTCCCAAATCTGACCAGCAGGCCCCTGAGGGAGTGGACTTTGGCTTGTGACCAGTCCTTGGTACTCAGGAATCAGAAGGACCTACCTGGTATGGTGTGAGCTGCCCAGGAGTTTTGGGGCCTCAAAGGGACTTACATCTCTGGGTCCCAGATAAGTTTCAGGAAAGGATTTAAACTGATGGTGGCAAGGACGAAACTTCCTGAAACACAAAAAACTTCATTTTGACTACAGTAGGGAAGGGGACAGATTAAGGAAGGGGTGCTACTTTAACTCTCCACAATTGTAATATTGACATCTTTTAAGGTCTAACCCACAACTTTTATCAGTCTTCCTAGGTTAACTTGATCCAAGGAACTATGTTCTCCCCAAATACTTTTTAAATGTGTTTGAGTGGAATGAGTGGTGATACTCTACTTTACAGGCAAGGAAAGGTGGTCTGGGATGTGCCCAAGAGCTTAGCTAGTCAGTGGCTAAGTCTGGACCAGCAGACTCCTGAGTCACTTCTTCCCACTTGTGTCTCGACCCCACCCCAACCTTCAAAGATTCAAGCATGGCGGAACCTAAACAAGAATTATTTTATTTTATTTTATTTTATTTTAAAGAAGCATTTCATTACAGCTTTAACATACTCATTAACAGTTTCCAGAGCAAAGATACATCTCTTTCAAAAGTGGCTATAAACTCTAGACAAATGAAATTTCTTACTGTATTATAAATATGGATCCTTATATTTCCAGAGAAGGAGACAGTACACCACTCATCAAAGAAGCTTCTTGAAACAAATGGAGACTTCTACAGAGTTTCACAACTGTTCACACACAGAAAGACTCATTGTTTTTGTTACTAACACTGAGATATTGGCGCATGCATCTCTAATTTGTATGTATCTGATTATTACTAGTCATAATTGGTTGTATTCAGATCCTTGGCACCTGTGGATGTCTATAAAGTCATTGGGTAGATTTCAATGGTAATGTTTATCACCTCTATTAATTAACATGATGTAATTTTTATGCTTCCTCCTCAAATATAATTCATTTTAAAATTTGATTTGTGTGTGTGTATATCACACAGAACATCCCAAACCATCTTATTCAATTATACACCCACTTCCCAGATGGTACCCTTCCATAGCCTCCCTCCCCCCACTAGAGCCCTTATACTCTGTTATCCCTGCTACTGTCCGCTGTGATCGTCACCCCTAGCTGTTCCCCAATACTTGTCCATCTGGTGAATCTAGTCAACCTATCTAGGGGTCTTTGTTTTAGGAAGATCAGCTGTTCCTTATCTAGCAGTAATTGGTTGTCAATATTCCTTTAAATAAGATTGGGGTCTGCTGTTCATTTTCCCAGTTCTATGCTGGGTTACTATCTGGGAGTCCCTTTGCCCACCCTGGCCAACAACTCAAAAGAAGATATCTCCTATCTGGCATTGTTGCTTGTTATATAGCCTTTAGCTATACATATGGCCTCTTAAAAATTATATTGGCCCCTTTAATCTTTGGTTGTACTTTCCTTTTGGGTGTTTAAGGTCATACAGTTGGCCCAGATAAACCAATTTATTTTTACTCTTAAGGACATTTAAGGATCTGTTCCTCAGGGGTTACATGGTCTTGGGAGGAGCCCCTGGCTCCTTTATTTTACCAGTTCCATCTTTGTGAAGATAAGTCAAAGGTCCTACTTGACCATAGCTGGCTTAACTTGGAAGCATGGAGGAAATGTTTCTTCTGTGTTGACCTTC